ATACAATTGAATATAAAGTAACGATTTATTGAGGGGATTTGGTTATGGTTTGTGTAATTTTATCTTTTCGATTTTATATTTAACTAATTTAATAATTAAATTCGATAATGGCTTTTTAGTTTTAATTATATCATCAATAATGTAACCAACTAATATTTTATTGACTTTTAAGCATTTTGCTTATAATTGTTTTCTTTGACTTCATCAATCAGAAAATTGATTTGATTTTTAGTTAAATATATTAATTGCGGTTAATGGTCATGCATAATATTTTAATACTCCAAACATCACATTATTTATTATTTTTTTTAATAAAAATATGAAACTCTATAACCTTCAACTTTTTTAATTTTCTGTAAACCCCCTTTTTTTCAGATCCCTTTTTAAATATTTACATTATTACTCTTTTTTTTGATTGATTAATTCTTTCTTTATTTATCTTAAAAGAAATAATATTTATTGAACCAAATTTTATTTTATCCAATACTGCTAAAGAATATGAATACTAAAAAACCACAGAAAGTTTTAAACCAGTTACGTACAATTGAACCTCGAAGCGAAATTTCAGTTGAAATAGATCAATTGCGAAAAAAAGCCATGAACAAATTTTCGCAAATGCTATCCTATACTAGTAAGTCATCAAAAAAATTTAACATTATAAAATTTTTTATATACATACCAACATACATATTTATAATAATATTTTGATTTTTTAAATTTTAAAAGAATCAACAACAGCTGAATCATTAACCGATGATGTGGTAAAAGATCAAGGAAACCTATATATTGATGTAGAAAATGATCAAGAAAGCCCAGCCCGTCTGTTGATATAAAAAATGACCAAGTAAACCTGCGTAAAAAATCATTTGAGCTAGTAGTACTCTTTGATTTAGAAAAGGATCAAGGAGTTTCACGCAAAAGAATGCTTGAACTAATGTCTGTGAATATAGAAAGGAATCAGAGAACTTCACGTGGAAAATCATTCGAACTAACAACTATGGACATAGATAAAGTTGATGATTTTCAGGACGATGATGAATACTATAGAACGTCTGATGATAATAATCAACGCGAATCAGTAGTAACTAATGTTGTGATTTCTCCACAGGAACTGGGTTCACAATCTTCTATAAATAAAAATATGTCCAAAGCTTACTTTACAAAAGAAGAATTCAATTATACGATAAATTTACTCGATTCAAAAATTAACGCATTATATAAACTTTGCAAATATATAAGTGAGCGACAAAAAGATAACACCAAATCATTAAATAGGCTTATCACACTTGATGAGCTTTTTGATGATTTTTAGAATGTAAGTTAACGTGTCTGGTAGTTCTATCTCGACTTCTACTGATATACTTTATTTTGTAGCGTGCATATAAGGAAGTAGTTAGGAAGCTACTACTCACTATCTTATTCCTTTTAGCTAACGAATTTCGTAAGGCATTGGAAGACTTTCTTTCTAAACATGCCGACCATTTTATTGAAAGTATTGGTAGAAATACCTGGATTTCTATATTTGAAGAAAAGTTGTTACCAGAAGTAAGTTGAAATATTAAAACTTTAAAGATATCTTCAATAATTACATTATTTATTTTGATATTTTTAGATTAATGCCAAATGTCGTAGTAAACGAAATAATATTGCAGCAAGCATTTATCATGCAATGTTTTTCGTCTATGGCAGATAGTTAGATCACATCGATAATAATACATCAACAATTAAGATTGCTGAATAGAAGTTAATGACACGCTTTTTCTGATGATAAATTACTTGTGAGAATCAGAAATACTGTTTTCAAATAGTATAAAGACAAGAAACTCCCGATGATACATTGTGCTTATATTCTCGTTATCTGTGACATCTTATTAAATCCAAAAAGTTCTGGAATAAAATGTAATGACAAGTCGGTCGTAAAGTGGGTTAATGCATTTCTGGTAAATATATTTGCAATACTCTAAATTTTGAATATTTTGAATATTATAATTTGATATTTTTTTTTATTAAACAGCATGCCTACGAAAATAAGAATCCTATTACATGAGAAGTAATGGAACAGATAGCCAATAAAGAAGCTAAAGTTACTATACATAACAAAAAACAAAATGAACTGTCATCACAAGCTGGAGAAAGTGAAGTAATCATGAATAATGATGATGATGATTATGACAATTTGGTAAGTTAACTGAAAATATTTATTAATTAATTATCGATACATTTACAACATTTTGAATTAACGGATATCATATAATTTTCTTAGATTTCTGGACTGGATCAAAGTTTTAACTGCTAGTTCATTTTTTATTAGTAATATTTTCATTTTAAAGCATTTTTTTTCCTATGTATATGCATCATATTTGCGAATATTAAATAAATAATTTTACATGATTTTTATTAATTATTAATTATAAAATGACAATAAACAAAAATCATGTAATTTATAGATAAAATTATTTCGAAGATTTGTTTAATAAAAATCCCATGCATAATTTTTAACTTAAAAATCTTGCACAGAAATCATAAAAATTTTTCTTTAAAGTTTAGCGTCATGTATGGAGATCTGCACAGGAAATCATATTACGGATCTGCACAGATCTAATGTTCAAAATTTTTCCCGATGTTTTACATGTAGATCTACTGGAAAGACATATAGTTAGCTTTACGTCTGGCGATTCCAAAATTGTGAGTCCATCAGCCTTTCATAACATATGCTTTTGCCATCACTATTAACTTATAGGGAAGGTCCTGTATTGCAACTGGACTTCCTTTCACATTTTTCTCATGTTTATACGAAGAAAAAGATAGAAGTATTAGTTAGTGAACATATATGCAAAATTAATATGCGAAAATGTCATACAGACCTATTATATGATCAGTCTATTTTTGTCGCACATGAGTTCAATGCATTGGCCTGTGAACGCTTTACATGGACCAGCAAATTCTTCTGAGCTGATGATTTCTGCTTTGAATCAGCCTAAATAGGGATGATCGAATAATCATTCACAGAGTCTTAAATTTTAACTGATGTATAGCCTGTTTATTTAGCCAATCTTCAATCTCTGCAAGAGTAAACTTATATCTAATCTGGTCTCAGAAAGACCTCTTCTTACAAATATTTCACATTTTTTTAGCGGTTTGATAAAAACCTTCAGGCTAGTAATACAACTTTTCGAATATAAGATCTCGATATAGAAGTTTTTCTCTTTTGGATCTTTTAAACAGTTTGAGACTGACTTCTTTTTTCCATATATCATTTATGCTATTACAATTATAGAGATCCTGTATCGATAAATACTTTAGAATAAAGAGTATTAATTCAGGTGTAAACTGATCAAGTAAATTAGCTATATGCATTATATAGATTAGAAGAATTTTCAATCGAAAAAAATAAAGGTACTGGTTAGCATGAATATTTTTTCGATATATGCAAAAATTAATATGTCGCATAAATTGACTGTGTGATTTGCATATTTTTTGTCACACAATCTGTGGCTCAACAAAAATCTACAAGCTAATGATCACTGCTCTGGACTAGAGTTGTTAATCAACTTAGTTTTCCTATACATTATAGGATCTTGTGAATCAAGACTGGCCTTTCAAGACTATAATTTTGCGCTGATTAACAGCTCTACTCTGGATTATTGATTTAACCAACCATAGATCAGAATACCACTGCAAATTATCTTGCATATTTAAATCTAAAAGGCTCTGAAGGTTCTAAGCTAGAGTTTGTCTACTAGCAATATTATTCTGTGTAAGATGATTTATAACTACTCTAATAAGATCAGGACGCGTTAAAGTTTCCTCAAAATTCTCAATATGGACATTTGGATTAAGTGAAATAAGCTGATCTACGGCTTTTTTGCTAATTTTATAACACCCTCTCAGATTTAGATATTTTAAATTAAGACATGATTTAGCAATTTCTTCGATAGTTATATCAGTAATTTCACAATAGCTAAGATTAAGTTGCCAGAGTCTTAGGCAAAAATGAATAATATTATAAATTAATATTTCAGAAAACTCTCTGCGATTAGAAATATTTAAACATTCTAATTTATGATATGAATCTGCAATTGCAGTTAGACCTTTATCATTTTTTGATCAAAGTGTATTACATAAAGCAGATATATTGAAATATTCCAAATTTAGGTATGATTCTGCTATTAGCTTTAGAACTTTCCCAACTGACTCAGATTTCATACTTCCTTCAAAATCTAAATGAATTATATTTTGGAACCTACATATAATGCTTTTGATTTTTCTATTTGAAAGCTGGTAATCTGATATTTTAATATGAGTTAATTTTGAACTATAAATTGGTTTACACTCTCCACCATGTACTATTTTTAAAAATCTTTTTAATTGAGTATGATCATACCCAACACCATTTAGCTTGATATGTTTTCATAGAATAGAGGCATTGCATCTGTACCACAATCAGGATACAAATAGAGTGGGGTAGAGAGATTTATTTAACGTTAGGAAATATAAAACCTGTTCTAATATTTCTGGTATAATAAAAACACTTGTATGCGCTATAAATAATATGTATTATATGCTATATCTTTAATTAAAAAAATATCTTTTAAGCAAGACTAAAGGCATTTTACATGATTATTACTCTGAACTAAGCCTTTCTACCATCTTATCTAACGCAAGCACTTGTAAACTATTCATATGAACTTTTATTCCATTCTCAGATAATAATCCTCTGAGAAATATTTTTTTAAGAAGTTCTTCAGTATAACCTATACAAATGTTACACTCTTTCAGCTTCAAATAAAATTCCTTTATCATATAATTGCCTTAAACTAATGATCCAGTCTGAAAATTGAAAAGAGTTTTTCTTTTAGACCATTCAAGATTTGTCTTACTTTCCCATATATCATTTATACTGCGACACTTTTTTAGATCCTGTGCTAGAAGATAATCAAGTAAATTAATTGTATGCATTTTATATAGTTAGAAAATTTTTTAATCGAAAAATAAACCTCTATTCAACGCTCTTAACTATGCGATATGATATCATGCAAAGTGCCTAATTCTTCGAATCCCTTTAGCTCACTTTAAACTACAAACTGTTTAACCTTTCTTCGTCGTGCCTTTCTTCATTGCTTATAAGAAATAACCTCTTCTACCTGATATCTTTGGGATCTCTCAATTATCTCAACTGAATCAGAATCTTCAGAAGACTCAGATAAATAGGAGAGACCCTTACTTTTTTGATCTTTGGCGAGAAAGCCATTTTTTGTATTAAGTCGACCATAATCTCCCTATCCACACATTCATTTAGATTTTTTAATTCGATTTTTAAGGATCTCACATCTTTCTCCAATCTTTTTACCCTCCTTTCTAAGTATTAGGTTAGGAATAATAATCTTCTAATTGTTTCCTTAGTATCCTATTTTCAACGAAAAGCATACTATACATATTTGCATTTTGTTTAGGTCTAAGTAATTTGGCTATTTTCTCTGTACGTCTGATAACTTCCTACTCAATATTTGTACTATTAGATGAATGTTTTTGATCAGTTACCATTTTTGTGATATATTATATATGCTATTAGGGTTCCTCAAAATCGAATCGAATCAAATATTTAAGCAATTTGAATTTGATTTGATTTTTTCAAATTGAATT